TTTCGCTGCCCTTTAGTTCCAGGATATAATGAGACTTGACAGGACCATGCCGCAAGCCCCCCTGGATATTCCCCAGTTCCCTCTGTAACCCATTGGGGCCATCAGTCACCGGGAGGAGGAGCGTTTGAATGGGTCCAGTCTCCCTACAGAAAGGAGAGGATGGCATAAGTATCTCAAGGACACCAAGTCATGGCCTGACCTTGACGGGATAACAATAGATATCCACTGACCTCGCTGGCGGTTCCTCGGTGGGTGCAAGTGGTCACACCCTGATTTGATCTTATCAGATCAATAGCAATGTGTGACCACTTTCACCCACAGAGGAACTGCCAGCGAGGTCAGAGGAGCGCTTTGAAGGAGCCAACTGCCATCTTTACTGTGGGAGCTGCCAAAGCTTTCTGGGTTCTTGAGATGGAATTAGATCAGAGCAGCAGCTCCACTAACGGCCATCAGGGGGCAGCACAGGACAGGACTTTGCGCCATCTGCCGGGTCTAGGGAGTCCAGCAGCCCTGAGATATAATAATAATAATAATAATAATAATAATAATAAAAGTAGGGGTACCTTTTTTTTAGCAAATAATCACAATTTACTGTGAAATCATTGTGAGCTATCTACAAAGCGAGAATTATACCCCCCCCCCAAAAAAAATTGACCTTCCTGGATTATAAATACTTTTTAAACTGAGACTTTAAAGCGATTGGCAGAGAAAAGGAAAACTTTGATTTTTGGTCATTATGGAGAATCAGAGATCTGCAGAAAGAACATATCAAGAAAAAACAAATACTTTCCAGGAGGAAATGTATATTATGTTACAATAAATACAAATGACATTAACTTCAAACCACGAGGAAATTAAAAATAACTTTGAAAACTTAAATGAACACGTTCTCAATTTAACGTCACAACAAACAAATGATCAGAAAGAATACAAAAAAAGAGAGAGATCAAGTGAAGCAGATAACTGAACATAAACTAATGGAAAGAAACTGAGAGATGGAATTTAATAACGGAAGGAGCTGTCATTTAATCCAGATGGAAAAAAGATTCTAGGAAATACTGGACATGGAAAAGACAACCTATATGTCAAGATTTCAAGAACTTGAGAGAAAAAAGGTGATGGGAGAAACTAAGAGAGAAAGAAAAAAAAAGATTTCTGAGGAATATTCCCACCAAAACACTTGACTCATCTTTTGTACCTACAACAATATCTACAAAATCATGGGAAGATCTTTGGGTTCAATGGAACACACTGATTAGGAAAAATGTTTGGCAAAAGAAGGGCTAAAGCCAGATTTAAGAAATTAGATGAGGGGATTCATTTGATGGAATACTTAAAGATTAAGCACTTGTTTGAATACGGTTGAAGAAATAAAATTTTGAATCTTAGCTTAGAGGGATAAGCAATACAGTATTTTTTGCCTATGATATGAGAAACATAAAAAAGTTTGGGATATTTATGAGGGAAATGTACTAAATACTTAAATAAAATGGATTTTGAAGACTTGAATATGCTTAAAAAGAATGAAACATTGATTATAAATGTATTTTAACTTAAGAGGGATTTTTTTTAAAAAAAACACCAGTATATTCTTTCTTTTGTTTTTCTGTTTCAAGATATGAAAAATGTTAAGTGTTAGGATGGTTCATATGTAGAAAAAGATTTCAATATCTAAGTGTAATTAACTTTAAGAAAATTTTAATAGGTTAAAATATTTTCTTTTGAATATTGTGGGGAAAATAAATTTAAATGAGAACTCTAAAAACAGGATCTATGACAAGGTGATCTAGATGATTAATTAGAAAAGAAACTTAATAATGAGGTGGAGGTTATTTGTGGATACCTAATTGCTATCTTCTAAAATTATCAAGAAATGTACTAATTTAAGGTTGATAAAAGAGAATATCATTGGAAGAAGAGACAATCAAGGAAAGTTATTATGTGGAATATGGAACTATAGAAATTAATCATTATTTATAAACACAAACCCAGACAACACAGTTTACCAAATATTGATAATGATATGTAAAAAAACCCAATAAACATATTTTCTTTTAAAAAAACACAAAACATCTTGGCGGCATCACATTGGCTGCATTTGGACTGGTTTTGGGGGGCGGGGCAGGAAATGAAGGAACTAGCTTTGTATTGTTGCATGGGAAACTTGATTCCACCTCCAGCCAGTGGCTGATGGGGCAACCACATCTGCCACTGAAGATGGGACCATAGCCGGCCCCACAGCAGCAGCAATCACTGTGGTCCCAGCACTAGGAGTGGCAGCTAAAATTGTCCCTCCCTGCAGGATTAGTACCGGTGAGGAAAAGGGGTCATAAAACATCACCAGTGGGAATGAAATTTAACAGGGACCCCCTTAGATGAGGGAATAGAAGGGGAATTCATCAACTTTGCAGATGACACTAAGCTTGCAGGAACAGCCAACAACCCAGAAGACAAGCTCAGGGTCCAAAGAGATTTTGACAGACTTAAACAATGGGCCCTATCCAACATCATGAAATTTAATGTGGAGAAAAGCAAGGTTTTACACTTAGGCATGAAAAACCAAAGGTACAAGTACAGATTATGCGAAACCTGGCTCAAAGACAGTAACTGTGAGAGGGACCTTGGAGTCCTAGTGGACGATCACTTAAATATGAGCTAGCACTGTTGCAGCCGCCGCCAAAAAAGCTAACACAATCCTTGATTGTATAAACAGAGGCATAGAATCAAAATCACATGAAGTATTAGTCCCACTTTATAAAGCCTTAGTAAGGCCACACCAAGAATACTGCATCCAGTTTTGGTCACCGCATTACAAAAAGATGTTAAGAGTTTGGAAAAAATGCAAAGAAAAGCAACTACGATGATTAAGAGCCTGGAGATTAAAACACATGAAGAACAGTTGTGGGAACTGGGTATGGCTACTCTAGAGATGAGAAGGACTAGGGGTGACATGATAGCACTGTTTCAATGTTTGACAATTAACCAGTGGGACAGTTTGCCTTCAGAAGCTGCGGGTGCTTCATCACTAGATGTTTTTCAGAACAGATTGAACAGCCACTTGTTTCAAATTGTATAGAGTCTCCTGCTTGAACAGGGGGTTGGACTAGAAGACCTCCAAGGTTGCTTCCAGCTCTGTTATCATTCTTCTGTTGCTTTGTATGTACACCGAGAGCTTCTGCACCAGAAGCAAATTCCTTGTGTGTCTAATCACACTTGGCTAAACAAATTATTCAATTGAATTCAATTACTCAGACATGTATTGTGAGTGAAGATCTTTCCACACTCAGGCATATTCAGCGTTTTTTCTCCATGTGAATCCTTTGATGTTTGTAAAGGTTTTCTCTCCGATTGAAGCTCTTTCCACACTCCAGGCATTTATATGGTTTTTCTCCTGTGTGAATCATGTGATGTCTATACAGAGTTCCTCCATTATTGAAATGCTTTCCACATTCCAGGCATTTATACGGTCTCTCTCCTGAGTGGATCCTTTGATGTACATAAAGGCTGCACCTATGACTGAAGCTCTTTCCACACTCAAAGCATTTATAAGGTTTTTCTCCTGTGTGGATTCTTACATGCTTTTCAAGATCACCATTCCTTTTGAAGGATTTTTCACATTCTGTGCATTGATATTTTTCTCCTTCTTGGATTCTTTGGGGATTCCCAAGTTTTCCGTCTGTTCTCCTCTCACTGAAGCTCTTTCCACACTCCAGGTGTTTATGCTGTTTCTCTCCTAAGTGGATTCTTTCATGTGCATAAAGGTGTCCTGTCTGACTGAAGCTCTTTCCACACTCCAGACATTTATATGGTTTTTCTCCTGTGTGAATCCTTTGATGTGCATAAAGGTGTCCTGTCTGACTGAAGCTCTTTCCACACTCCAAACATTTATACGGTTTTTCTCCTGTATGAATCCTTTGATGTTTATGGAGGTTTCCAGCGTGAATAAACCTCTTTCCACACTCCAGGCATTTATACGGTTTTTCTCCAGTGTGAATTAGTTGGTGTATATAAAGATTTCCTCTCTGACAGAAGCTCTTTCCACATTCCAGACATTTATATGGTTTCTCTCCGGAATGGATTATTAGATGAGTGTAAAGGTTTGCTCTCTGACTGAAGCTCCTTCCACACTCCGGGCATGTAAATAGTTTTTCTCCTGTGTGGATTCTTTGATGGTTTTCAAGATCTCCATTATTTTTGAAGGATTTTTTACACTCTGTGCATTGATATTTCTTTTCTCCCTCCTGGATTCTTTGGGGATTCCCAAATCTTCCATCTGTTCTCTCACTGAAGCTCTTTCCACACTCTAGGTGTTTATACTGTTTCTCTGCTAAGTGAATTCTTTCATGTGCATAAACATGTCCTGTATGACTGAAGGTCTTTCCACACTCCAGACATTTATATGGTTTTTCTCCTGTGTGAATCCTTTGATGTGTATAAAGGTGTCCCCTCTGACTGAAGCACTTTCCACACTCCAGACACTTATGCTGTTTCTCTCCAGTGTGCATTGTTTGATGTGCATACAGGTGTCCTGTCTGACTGAAGCTCTTTCCACACTCCAGACATGTATATGGTTTTTCTCCCGTGTGAATCCTTTGATGTGTACGCAGGCTTCCAGCATAAATAAACGTCTTTCCGCACTCCAGGCATTTATACGGTTTTTCTCCTGAATGGATCCTTTGATGTACATAAAGGTTTCCTCTCTGACTGAAGCTCTTTCCACATTCCAGGCATTTATGCTGTTTCTCTCCTGAATGGATCCTTTGATGTACATAAAGGTGTCCCATTTGACTGAAGCTCTTTCCACATTCCTGGCATTTAAATGGTTTCTCTCCTGAATGGATTCTTAGATGCCTTTCGAGATCTCCATTACTTCTGAAAGATTTTCTACATTCCGGGCACTGATATTTCTTTCCTCCCTCCTGGATTCTCTGGGGATTCCCGGGTCTTCCGCCTGTCCCGAAGGATCCTCCGCCCTCTAGGCCCGTCTCGGGGTCTCCGCCCGTTTCCTGCTCCTCGCTTCTCCCTCCAGGCGGCCTCCTTTCCCGGAGTCCCCTTCGGCTCATCTCTTCCGGGCCTTCCCCGCCGTCTCCTCCCGGGGCTGCTCCGCGGGGCCTCCTCTCCTCTCGGGCGGCGCCTCCTTCCGTCCTTCCTCTGCCGGGCTCGCCCGTCCTCCTGCAGGGGCGAAGGAGAAGCGGGTCACGGTTTCGTCCCCTTCCCCGGAGGGCAGTCCCAGACTGTCAAGCCCGGGGAGGAAGGCCGAAGCCTCCGCCTGTCAGGGAACTCCCTCCCAGCCTCCTCCCACACGACCAGGCCTCGAGCTTCTGATCTACCCCTTCACCGCCTCCCGGGACTCCCAGCATCCCCTGCGCCAAACCTGCAACATCCGGGCTCCTCTATCGCCGATTCAGGAAAATCGCTCGTTCCCGTTTTGTTTCCGGAAGTGGAGGCGGGACCTCTCTGCGCCCTTTCCCTAGAAGCTCCGCCTGTTCCTCTGGAGAGACCGCCCCGAGGAGTCCTCCTGCCAATCGCCGCCATCGCCAGAGCGACCAATCTTCGTCCTCCTTCCTTGAATCAGCCAGATGGCGCCTGCGCAGTAACGAGGGTCAGGCAGGCAGGCGCAGCTGAGGGGCGTTTCCGGGGCTGCGTCTCCGCCCCTCCCTCATCCGGGGTCTCTCCCTTGGCAGGGTGGGGGGGAGCTTGGGGGGGCTTCCCCCCTTCGCTCTCCTGGGGGGCTCCGGCCAGGCTCCCCCCGAGGCCTCCAGGCAGCCGGGCCTCCTCTCTGCGCCTCCTGGACCCCCCGATGCCGCCCCCGCCCCCCCTTTCCCGCCTCCTCCCCGGGACCCCTTTGCCAGACTGCAGCGGGGGGGGGATCCCCTCCAGGACCCCCCCTTAATATCTGGGCCTCTCTGACCTCTGGGCGTCCTGAGATTGAAGCCTACAGAAAGGCTTTCCCCCCCATGCGCCCCTTTCTCCCCGGGGAGCCTGGCCCGAGACCCTCGGCCTTGGGGGGCTCTCCGTGCTTCCTACGCCCCCCCCCAAAGGCTGGAGGGGTTCCTGCTCCTCTCTCAGCCTCCAGCCAGCTTCTCCCGGGCTGAGAGAGGATCCTGAGCTGGCAGTTTCAGAGGCTTTCGAACTTCTATGTCCCCCACCTCCCCCAAAGCCCCTTTTCTACGATTTGAAATCATTTTAATGTTCCGGTTGTTTCTGCACTCAATACCTGAGGTAATCTGATGCTGGAGCCCAGTGACCTTCTCCAGGCATGTTTAGATGTAGGCAGGAAGCTCTCTTCTCAGCTAACAGAACAACAGAGCTGGAAGGGACCTTGGAGGTCTTCTAGTCCAACCCCCTCCTCCAGCAGGAGACCCTCTATGATTCCAGAAAGTGGGAATATGTTACGTCTGCAGGAAATGGGAGTCTCTTTATTGGCTTCTGTGTTGTGTTCTGCTTTTATTAAAGTGTGAGGTTGTATAAATGTAATGCATACCTACATACCCCTGGCTAGCACCTGTTATTCGGTAGAATACGCCTAATATTTCTATCATCACTTCTGAGCAAAGAGAAGGGCTGAGTTTACTAAGCAGTGGAAGAACTGCTATTCACTATTCTCTGAAGCTCACTAGACCCTTTGAGTTGATAAGCCTGTCCATGGAGGGCTTAAAGGCACAAAGACTGACTCTTTTTGGTGGGCTTCTGCTTTGGGCTTGTAAGGAACTGCCTCAGCTGGTCCCTCAGCAAAGGAAGACTCGGAATCCATCCAGTTGGATAAAAAGGACTTTTACGGAGCAACAGTGATTGTGGGAGGACCAGGCGAAGTCTGAAAAGGCAGCGCAGAACACAGTCATCTCTGGGTGACTGAAAATTTTAGGCATAATACAGGTAGTCCTCGACTTACAACAGTTCATTTAATGACCGTTCAAAGTTATAACAGCACTAAAAAAAGGATTATGACAATTTTTCACGCTTACGACCTTTGTAGTCACGTAATCATAAATTGAAATGCCTGACAACTGGCTCATATTTATGACAGTCGCAGTGCCTGGGGAGGGTCACGTGATCGGCTTTTGTGACCTAATGAGCAAAGTCAATGGGGAAGCCAGGGTCGCTTAACAACTGCGTTACCGACTTAAAGACTGCAAGGATTCACTTAGCAACAGTGGTAAGAAAGGTCGCGAAATGGAGCAAAGTTCACTTAACAAATGTCTAACTTAGCAACAGAAATTGTCCAGTGGTCCATCACGTGATCCTGGGTCCTACATCCAGGCTGGTTCCTAAGTGCCTGAAATTTGGATTATGTGACCGATGAGGGTGCTGTGATGGTCATAACTGCGAGGACTGGGTGTAAGTCCCTTCTTTCAATGCTGTTGGAACTTTGAACAATGATTCTCCGTCGAGGATCACCTGCGGCAGGTAAAATGAATCTGGCACCCTTTGGTAGTCTGGCTTATTACTCCCAAGCCCACCCNAAGACATGGCTCTTTCAGCAAGCGGACCTGACCTAGGGTGGATTTTATACTGGGTTTTTTAGGAATTTGAAAGACGCAACTCTAAATTTGGTTTAATTCGGTTTTAAGGGGGGGATTGTATATATGTTTTGGTTTTAAGTATGTTGTGCGCCGCCCTGAGTCCTGTCGGGAGAAGGGCGGCATATAAATTAAATTAAATTAAATAAATAAATAAATAAACAGTGGCAAGAAAGGTCGTAAAATGGGGTAAAATTCACTTAACAAATGTCTAACTTAGCAACAGAAATTGTCCAGTGGTCCATCACGTGATCCTGGGTCCTACATCCCGGCTGGTTGCCAACTGCCTGAAATTTGGATTATGTGACCTATGAGGGTGCTGTGATGGTCGTAACTGCGAGGACTGGCTTTAAGTCCCTTGTTTCAATAATGTTGCAACTTTGAACAATGATTCTCAGTCAAGGATTACCTGCGGAAGGTAAAATGAACCCGACACTCTTTGGTAAGCTGGCTTACTATGCCCAAGCCCGCCCAGCCACCCCCCTCACCAGTCCACCAGCAGATATCCCCCTCCCTAAATTACCAAGCAGTTACAACAAAGCAAAAAGCAAGCAAAATCGCCAGCAAACATCCCCCCCTTCCCAAGAATGGCAGGGCACGATGGTGGACCTGACAGGGTTTGTGCATTCAGTAATATTGAAGGTTCCATCCAGATGTAAAAGAGCCTTGAAGTTAATTCTGTGTCATTCTGAAGAAAGGCATAGATTTTGTTTTTGTTTTTTTTATTATTTTTTAATAGAGATTTTATTGGTTTTCTTTTGCATATATATGTTAATTTTTCCAATCAACGAACTGTCTGGGGTTAGCTATGCTAACACATATTCGATTCCTAATCCTTCATTCTTTCCTCTAACCAACAATAAAATAAGTCCCAAACTTGGTAGTAGTCTGTGTCTTCTTTATCTTTCAGTCTCATAGTTAATCTGTCCATCTCTGCACATTCCAATATTTTTCAGATTATTTCTTCTTCTGATGGCAATCCTTCATTCTTCCAGTATTGTGCAAAGATTATTCTTGCTGCTGTAGTGATGTGTAAAATTAAATATAAACTCTGGTTATTAATCTTTTCAGGCATTATACCTAGTAAAAAAAGTTCAGGTTTAAAATCAACATGTTCACCTAATATTTTTTCTAACCATGTATGTATCTTTTTCCAATAAGCCTTAGCTTTGCCACATGTCCACCAAATGTGATAGTACGTGCCTGCGTTGTGTTTACATTTCCAGCATCTATCTGATATATTTTTAAACATTTTTGCTAATCTTGCTGGTGGCAAGTGCCATCTATAAAACATTTTATACAGGTTTTCTTTATATGAAGTTGACATTGTTAATTTGTAATTTCTCTCCCATAGCATTTGCCACTTTTCTAGTTCTATATTATAGCCAAAGTTTTTCGCCCATCTTATCATTGTTTCTTTAACTTGTTCAATTTTCATTTCCAAAATTAACAAAAAATTATACATTTTCTTAATTTCTCATCTGAAGTTAACAAAATCCTATCAAACACAGTTTGATCTTTATAGAATGCATACATTTTCACATCTTTTTCATATCTATTTTGCATCTATAAATGTGTCCACCACGACAGGTTGATCCCCTGATTTCCCAGTTCTTGCTTAGATTTTAAATTCCCATCAATATTTAGAATATCTCTATATGCCCATATTTTTTCAAAGTCTACCAAGTTCGGATGTACAAATGCCTCCATCGTTGATAACCACCCTGGAATTTTTAGGTATATTTTAGCTTTAATTTTTTCCCATACTGTTAACAAGGCATTTCTTATATAGTGATTTTGAAAATACTTATGAGCTCTATTTTTCCCATACCATGAGAAAGCGTGCCACCCCAATTGTAAATCATGTCCCTCTAGATACAACAACCTTTTGTTTCTAAGCATTATCCATTCTTTCACCCGTGTTAAAACAGATGCTTGATAATACAAGGCCCATTCCGGCAACCCAAATCCTCCATTTTCCTTAGCGTCTTGTAGTGTTTTCATCTTAATTCCAGCTTTCTTCCCCTGCCAAACAAAGTTCAAAATTAATGAGTTTAAATCTTGAAAGAATTTTTTCTCAAGTTTTATCGGAATTGTTTGAAATAAAAATAGAATCTTTGGCAGTACGTTCGTTTTTACTGTAGCAATTCTTCCCAATATTGACAAGAGCCTTCAAGTTAATTCTGTGTCATTCTGAAGAAAGGCATAGATTTTGATCTTTAAGATTGTGGCCTCTTTCCTTGATCTGTGATCCTACTTGAGATGGAAACTGCCAATCCAGAGCTGGAGTAACCTTCAGAAAGATCAGACTACAATATTTTATTATTGTAATGGGGGTAAATACAGTAACCCCCCCCCCCCCAGTGCAAAGTCTAACTTTTTTCTTGCCTACCTGGGGAGCTCCTATCAATTAGCCCATTTTACTTATTTTATCTGAACAGGCACATTGATATAATATCCTTGTTTTCTAACCCCTCCAACAGACTGTGGGAGGAGAATGCATTCTTTTCTTGCAGCAAATTAGTTCCCCAAGTGATCAAATTCTGTTCTCTTTCCATGGCTGTTCAGAGTTTTGCCATCTGAATTCTCCTCCTTCAGGTATGGTGTGTTTTTTGTATCCGGAGGGGGACAAAATGTCAAGGTGAAGAAATGTGCATCACAACATAAACCATGTAATTTATCTTCTTCCATCTGGCATTAGGAAGTGAGCAGAATAGGCTAGACTTTGCAATAGGTTTCATCACTTAAGGAGAATAGGGCTGAAATGAGGGGTCCTTGGTGCTCTCTGAGCTTGCTTGTTTTCTTGCAGACCTTTCATTACCCAACTAGGTAATGTCATCTGTGCTACAAGGAGTGCTGATTGCTGTTGGTTTATATTCTGGGGCCTTGCCTGTCTTGGGGGGGGGTCTTAGGGATTTGCTGGTTGGGCTGTTTACTAAAGGCTCTGTGACCATTTCTGGATTGGGGTCTTGCTTCCTTGATTCTTGGTCTGAAGGTGACCTTGGAGCTAATCTATGCTGATCTGAGTGCTGGTGGGGAGGGGCTGGGGTCTTTTTCTCTTTGGGGATGGTTGATTGTCTCTTTTGCGTGGTCCAAGGGCCCTTGCACCTGCCGAGGAACCGCCAGCGAGGTCAGGGGAGGCTTTGAAGGACCCAACTGCTATCCTTACTGTGGGAGCTGCCAAAGCCTTCTGGGCTCTCAAGATGGAATTAGATCAGGGCAGCAGATCCACTAACGGCCATCAGGGGGCAGCAAAGGACAGGATGTTGCACCATCTGCTGGATCTCGAGAGTCCAACAGCCCGGAGATGCTCGTCCCAGGTTTTCTTCGGAGGGCCACTCCTAGCCGGCCTTCCTGCCAAGGAGGTGGGTCACCGGCTCTTCCCAGATTAGTGCCTCACAACCACCTGCCCAGGTAGTCTGGCCAACATGGTCTAGAGCTCGAGATATCCTGGCCAACCCAGTAAATTTTGATTCGATTCACACAATAGTACTCTCTCTATAGCATCGAACACCCACATTCACATTTGCTAAATGTAGCAGTGTTCAGAAAGGCTGGATTTCTGGGCCTGGGCCTGTTGTCCAAGTCCAGTCTTCCTTACTTCCTGCCTGAGTTCAAGCTAGCCTCTCAGATGCCCCCCCCCCCTCTGGGCAATCCTGGCTCCAGCTGAAACCCTTCCTGAAGCAGAAGAAGGAGCCAAAAACTCATAAAAATACAGATTGTGGACACAAAACAGAGACCAAGAATTCTTCCACCTGGTTCTACTCAATCACCACCATACATACTGTAGCCAGTTTGAGCCCCTCAAATGCTTTACACAAGTTTCAGAGAAGGACAAGGTGAATGATCGAGTGCCCCTGTTGCAGCAAAAGTAGGGGTACCTTTTTACGAAATAATCTCAATTTACTGTGAAATCAGTCGAAGCTGATGCAACGGAATGGCACCCGCAATTTGTTCTTGCATAATGCATTGGGTGTAAATTTTGATTTATGACTAACATTCTTCTAAATAAAGAAAATGGCATGGACAAAATCACTGCATTTAGCCTTTGTAGATTTTAAACTTACATTTGACTCCATTTGAGATAAATCTTGATGAACCTGGAGAATACAGTACAAACGGATGTTGCTTTTTCTCATTCAGCATTTGTATGAAATGTGCTAGCTAGTCAACCTGGTACCTCTTCAGAAAAGTCTCACAGGGCTCTATTTAGACCTCCAGCCTCTTTAACTTGTACCTCCCCTCCTCCTTACACCTGCCTGAATCCATGGACCCAGATGTACAGGTAGTCCTCGAGTTATGAATGGAATGGAGCCCGCCCAGTCCATTTCGTAACTCGAGAATTCATGGGAGTGAATCTCGTACATCGAACGTGATTCACTTCCTGTTCGTTAAGATGCACGTGGTTCATTAAGTGCACATGAGGCATCTCAGGGTGAGGAAGGCCATGGAGGGCCTAGTGCAGGGGTCGGCAACCTTAAACACTCAAAGAGCCACTTGGACTCGTTTCCCACAGAAAACACTGGGAGATATAAAACATGAGTGCGTGCACACAATAGGAGGGGGGCTTGATTGAACAATTTAATTAAAAAGAAATAGAGGCTGCTGTGAATGAGTTCTCTCTGCCTCTCTCTCCCCCTCCCTCTCTCCCCCCCCCTCTGATCTTCTGCTCACCTGGCAAGCTGGCTTCACGCTGTTCTCTGACAAGCTCCGACATTCTTATTGGGCTGGCTCTCTCCTGCCCTTGGTCTGCCAGTCCTCTTCCTCCACTAAATAAAATTGTGTGTGTGTGTGTGTGTGTGTGCGTGAGAGAGAGAGTGCTAGAACTGCTTTCTGCTTCCTCCTGCTTCTTGCGGAGACGCAGCAAAAGCAGGAGCCCCACTCAATAAGCTTGTCAGCTTGTCGGAGAACAGCGTGAGGCAGAAGAATGGAGAGAGAGACAGAGAAAAGGGAAGCGCAAGTGCCTCTCTCTGTCTCTCTGCAAATGGCAGAGGACTGGGAGCTGCAGTAGAAGGCTCAAAGACCTACGTGCGGCTCTCGAGCCACGGGTTGCCGACCAGTGGCCTAGTGAAAGAATAGGCTCCCCAGGCCTCCCCGACCTACTAATATACCTCATGTTTCCCTCTCCTTTCCTGCTGCGCCAGACTCACCTTGCAAAATCCGTGTCCTCTCTGCCACGGTTTCTTTCCCTTTGAGGGAGAGTCGGCTTGGGATTGCTTTTCGCACCAACAGTGGAAGCCGCAGGGTGCTGTAACATCGTGCAAGTTCAAACACAAATTCTCTACAACAGAGACCATGGCCCCCAGAAGCTTCTATCCGGGGGAGGTAGTGTTTGCACAGCAACATTCATAGTTAAGGAACTTTTTCCTAAATACTAGGGGGCTCTTATCACATAGCTTCGAACATTCACTAAGGGAAGGTTCGTAACTCGGGGATTACCTGTATCTCACAAACCTTTGTTGGCCTTAGAAAGTCTCATTTCTGTTAAAAAGCGTTAAAGACGAGGGGACCATTGAGAGCATCCAATTTACAAGAGTTTCAGATATCTGGGGTAGTCTTACATGGGGCTGACATTTGGAAAACCCATTTAGATTGTATCAAACAATGACAGGGAGGAGCTCTGTCACACCCACAACAGTGAAGGCCGAATTAGCCCTAGTGTCAGGTCCTACCAGTTCCTGCCATCTGGAGGGGCATTTGGGGGGGGGGACAAATGGACAATATGATTGTGTGTACGTGACGGGAAATAGGGAGGGGGGAAATGACAGGTGATGAAGACCATAGAAGCCCAGAATTGGTTTGTACCAGAGGCACCTTTTGCTTCAATCCGATGAAGTCGAGGGTCTTTCTTTCCTAAGGGACCCTGTTGGGGCAGGTCAGACGCCTAGATTCTGCCACATTACATTGTTCAAATTAGGCAGAGTTGGAAGATTATTTAAAGGCAACTTTGTTTTTAATTGGTTTTTATTGGGGATAGTGTTTGTATCGTTTTAATATGCTGTGAGCCGCCCTGAGTCCTGTCGGGAGAAGGGCGGCATATAAGTTTAATAAAATAAATAAAATAAATAAATAAATAAATAAATAAATAAATTAGAGTAATCTAACAATGAGGTTTCCCCTAATGAAAAGAGGAGTCCAGGACACATTCAGTAGAAAAAGTACAAAAGAATAGTTGATTGGATGGGAGAAATCCTGTTACATCAGAAACATGGACAGTAAGATAAACATCCCATAATATTAAGCATAACCATTTGAAAGAGCATTTTATTAAAAGGAGAACATTTGCATGGGAAAAGGCATCAGGAGTCACATAAATCTGTTGTGAAAAGGGACATTTTCAGCCAGCTGAATCTTCTAGCATGTTCAGTTGAAAAAGTCCTTTGTTACTCAGTCTGAGAAAGTCCCTTATTTTGCAGTTAGAAAGTTACAAGCACCTAGATGCTAAGGAAGAAAGGTACATTACAAGGTTATGATAAAAATCTAAGTTACAAGAAACGTGCAAGGAATGTATTCCTGCAACACAGACGTCGTCAAATGAGGCAAAACTAATTGGCTGCATAACTTGAATTGCTAACCAGAGAGCGAAAGTGGCATTAAGGATGAGGTTGGAGGCAAAAAGGAGAGAAGGGTGAATTGACTCATTAATAAAAAATTTGCAACAATTTAAATGGACTGAGTTTAATCTTCAGGTAAACAAAAAACGAACAATGAAATTTTCTTCAGTTGAAAAGGCAAAGCCATAATCCAGCAGGGCAGTTGGGGAGGATGAGTTGCAATGTTGGCTGAGAATTGTTGCCAGATGGGCTGTTTTTCTACCTGACTGGATTAGTCTTGGAGGTTTCTTGCAAGAAAATTGGGGCCTTGGTGGGTTCAATTCAATTACTGAGACAAGTATCATGACTGAAGATCTTTCCACACTCAGGCATATTTAGCGTTTTTCCCCATGGGAATCTTTTGATGTCAATGAAGGTGTACACCGTTGGTAAAGCTCTTTCCACACTCAAGGCGTTTATATGGTTTTTCTCCTGAATGGATTCTTTGATGCTTAGAAAGCCTTCCCTTCTCACAGAAACTCTTTCCACACTCCAGACATTTCTGTGGTTTTTCTCCAGTGTGGATCCTTTGATGTTTGCGGAGCTGTCCACTCACAGTAAAGCTCTTTCCACACTCCAAGCATTCATATGGTTTTTTTTCCTGTGTGGATCCTTTGATGGGTATAAAGGTGTCCCGTCCGACTGAAGCACTTTCCACATTCCAGGCATTTATATGGTTTTTCTCCTGAGTGGAACCTTTGATGTACATAAAGGTTGCTCCTCTCACTGAAGCACTTTCCACATTCCAAGCATTTATATGGTTTTTCTCCTGAGTGGATCCTTTGATGTCTATAAAGGTTGCTCCTCTGACTGAAGCTCTTTCCACACTCCAGGCATTTATCCGGTTTTTCTCCTGTGTGGATCCTTTGATGTACACAAAGGCTGCTCCTCTGACTGAAACTCTTTCCACACTCCAGGCATTCATGTCGTTTTTCTCCTGAGTGGATCCTTTGATGGGTATAAAGGTTTCCCTTTCGACTGAAGCACTTTCCACACTCCAGGCATTTATGTGGTTTCTCTCCTGAGTGGATCCTTTCATGTGCATAAAGGCTGCTCCTCTGATTGAAGCACTTTCCACACTCCAGGCATTTATATGGCTTTTCTCCTGAATGGATCCTTTGATGTGTATAAAGGTGTCCCCTCTGACTGAAGTTCTTTCCACACTCCAGGCATTTATATGGTTTTTTTCCAGTGTGGATTCTAAGATGGTTTTTAAGATCTGCATTTCTTTTGAAGGATTTTCCACATTCCGGGCACTGATATTTCTCTCCTCCCTCCTGGATTCTCTGGGGATTCCCGAGTCTTCCGCCTGTCCCGAAGGACCCTCCGCCCTCCAGGTCCGTCTCGGGGTCTCCGCCCGTTTCCTGCTCCCCGGGTCTCCCTCCAGGCGGCCTCCTTTCCCGGAGTCCCCCTCGGCTCATCCCTGCCGGGCCTTCCCCGCCGTCTCCTCCCGGGGCTGCTCCGCGGGGCCTCCTCTCCTCTCGGGCGGCGCCTCCTTCCTTCCTTCCTTCCTTCCTTCCTTCCTTCCTTCCTTCCTTCCTTCTTTCTTTCTTTCTTTCTTTCTTTCTTTCCTTCCTTCCTTCCTTCCTTCCTTCCTTCCTCCGCCGGGCTCGCCCGTCCTCCTGCAGGGGAAAAGGGGGAGGAGGAGAGGCGGACACGGCTTCGTCCCTTCCCCGGAGGGGAGTCCCAGGCCCGCCCGGGGAGGAAGGCCGAAGCCTCCGCCTGTCAGTGAGACTTTCCGGGCAGCCCTCCCTCCCAGCGCCCATCCCGCCACAACAGGCCTCGGCCTCCCCCCTCCCTCCCTTCCCCGCCAGAGAGCCTCTCGAACTGCCACTCCCAGCATCCCTTGCGCCCTACCTGGATCCGAGCCCGCCCGTGGATGAATCGATGAAACGCCTCAGTTCTGTTTAATCCCAGATGTGCGAGGCCTTTTTCTGGAGGCCCCGCCTATTTTTCTACACGGACCGCCCCGAAGTGCCAATCGCTGCCATCGCCAGAGCGACCAATCGGCGTCCTCCTTCGTTGAATTAGCCAGATGGCGCCTGCGCAGTAGTGAGGGGCTTTGGGGCTCCCCTTGAATTTTGGGGTTCGCTCTTCCCCCCTCCCGCATCCAGGCGTGCGCAGCTAGGGGGCCCTTCCGGGGCTGCGTCTCCGCCCCGCCCACGTCCGGGGTCTCTCCCTTGGCAGGGCGGGGGAGGGGGAACTGGGGGGCGCTTCCCCCCTTCGCCCTCCTGGGGGGCTCCGGCCAGGCTCCCCCCGAGGCCTCCAGGCAGCCGGGCCTCCTCTCTGCGCCTCCTGGACCCCCCAATGCGCCCCCGCCCCCTTTCCCGCCTCCTCCCCGGGACCTCTTTGCCAGACTGCAGCGGGGGAGGGGATCCCCTCCAGGACCCCCCTTAATATCTGGGCCTCTCTGACCTCTGGGCGTCCTGAGATCGAAGCCTCCAGAAAGGCTTTTCCCCCCTTTCCCCCCCGCTCTGCCCCCCCGTGCGCCCCTTTCTCCCCGGGGAGCCTGGCCCGAGACCCTCGGCCTTGGGGGGCTCTCCGTGCTTCCTACGCCCCCCCCAAAGGCTGGAGGGGTTCCTGCTCCTCTCTCAGCCTCCATCCAGCTTCTCCCGGGCTGAGAGAGGATCCTGAGCTGGCAGTTTCAGAGGCTTTTGAACTTCTATGTCCCCCACCTCCCCAAAAGCCCCTTTTCTAAGATGTGAAATCATTTTAATGTTCCTGTTGTTTCTGCACTCAATGCCTGAGGGAATCTGATGCTGGAGCCCAGTGACCTTCTCCAGGCATGTTTAGATGTAGGCAGGAAGCTCTCTCATCAGCTAACAGAACAAAAGAGCTGGAAGGGACCTTGGAGGTCTTCTAGTCCAACCCCCTCCTCCAGCAGGAGACCCTCTATGATTCCAGAAAGTGGGAATATGCTACGTCTGCAGGAAATGGGAGTCTCTTTATTGGCTTCTGTGTTGTGTTCTGCTTTTATTAAAGTGTGAGGTTGTATAAATGTAATGCATACCTACATACCCCTGGCTAGCACCTGTTATTCGGTAGAATACGCCTAATATTTCTATCATCACTTCTGAGCAAAGAGAAGGGCTGAGTTTACTAAGCAGTGGAAGAACTGCTATTCACTTATTCTCTGAAGCTCACTAGACCCTTTGAGTTGATAAGCCTGTCCATGGAGGGCTTAAAGGCACAAAGACTGACTCTTTTTGGTGGGCTTCTGCTTTGGGCTTGTAAGGAACTGCCTCAGCTGGTCCCTCAGCAAAGGAAGACTCGGAATCCATCCAGTTAGATCAAAAGGACTTTTACGGAGCAACAGTGATTGTGGGAGGACCAGGCGAAGTCTGAAAAGGCAGCGCAGAACACAGTCATCTCTGGGTGACTGTGAAAATTTTAGGCATAATACAGGTAGTCCTCGACTTACAACAGTTCATTTAATGACCGTTCAAAGTTACAACCACTAAAAAAAGGATTATGACAATTTTTCACGCTTACGACCTTTGTAGTCACGTAATCATAAATTGAAATGCCTGACAACTGGCTCATATTTATGACAGTCGCAGTGCCTGGGGAGGGTCACGTGATCGGCTTTTGTGACCTAATGAGCAAAGTCAATGGGGAAGCCAGGGTCGCTTAACAACTGCGTTACCGACTTAAACACTGCAAAGATTCACTTAGCAACAGTGGTAAGAAAGGTCGCGAAATGGAGCAAAGTTCACTTAACAAATGTCTAACTTAGCAACAGAAATTGTCCAGTGGTCCATCACGTGATCCTGGGTCCTACATCGAGGCCGGTTCCTAAGTGCCTGAAATTTGGATTATGTGACCGATGAGGGTGCTGTGATGGTCATAACTGCGAGGACTGGGTGTAAGTCCCTTCTTTCAATGCTGTTGGAACTTTGAACAATGATTCTCCGTCGAGGATCACCTGCGGCAGGTAAAATGAATCTGGCACCCTTTGGTAGTCTGGCTTATTACTCCCAAGCCCACCCACCCCCTCACCAGTCCTCCAGCAGATATCCCCCTCCCTAAATTACCAAGCAGTTACAGCAAAGCAAAAAGCAAGCAAAAATTTCAGCAAACACACCCCCCATTCCCAAGAATGGCAGGGCACGATGGTGGACCTGACAGGGTTTGTGCATTCAGTAATATTGAAGGTTCCATCCAGATGTAAAAGAGCCTTGAAGTTAATTCTGTGTCATTCTGAAGAAAGGCATAGACTTTGATCTCAAAGATTGTGGCCTCTTTCCTTGATCTGTGATCCTACTTGAGATGGAAACAGCCAATCCAGAGCTGGAGTAACCTTCAGAAAGATCAGGCTACAATATTTTATTATTGTAATGGGGGTAAATGCAGTAACCTCTTGCCTTCCTGAGGAGCTCCTATCAATTAGCACCTTTTACTTATTTTATCTGAACTGACACATTGATATCATGTCCTTATTTTCTAACTCCTCCAACAGAGTGTGAGAGGAGAATGCATTTTTTTCTTGCAGCAAATTAGTCCCCCAAGTGATCAAATTCTGTTCTGTTTCCATGGCGTTCAGAGACTTTTGGTAGTTTTGCCATCTGAATTCTCCTCCTTCAGGTATGGTGCTTTTTATGTATCCAAAGGGGGATGAAGGGGCGAGGTGAAGAAAGGTGCATTCTTGCATCTAGCATTAGGAAGTGAGCACAATAGGCTAGACTTTGCAATAAGTTTCATCATTTGCTGCTGGGTCTGCCCATGGCAGGGGTCTTCAAACCTGGCCCTTTTAATGACTTGTGGACTTCAATTTCCAGAATTCCTCAGCCAGCGTGCCTGGCTGAGGAATTCTGTAAGTTGGAGTCCACAAGTCATAAAAGTGCCAGGTTTGAAGACCCTTGGCCCATGGGGACAGCCTCGTCCCAAGATCTCCACGAGGGGAAAAGGCACCATTTGAACCCATCTCAGAAAGTATTTCAGGACCCTCCTACTCTTGAAACTTGGGTGATGCATCCTGGAAGGCTTCATTCATAAATCCTCAGTCCTTGCCACTTCCATTTTTTCCTCTCTCCCTTTTCAAGCGACCTTCACCAGGTGGGAGTTGGGGCCCATTCCTGTTCCTGATTAATGCCTTAAAGCAGGACTTTTCAACCAGTGGTACATTGGCACCTGGCAGGTGGTACGCGACCATCCTAGAAAAGTGGTAGCAGGGGAGGGGAATGAGCTGAACCGGTGGCAGCACCACACAGGCCTGACCGAGATACGGCTGGAGCTGCAGGGCTGTCAGGGCTCAGCGGAAGCGCCAGGATCAGTGCTGCTTTCCAACTGATCGGCGCTTCTTCGGGGCTGTCAGAACTCAGTGGAAGCACCAG